GGAAAAACAAAAAATATCGTGTATCCACAAACACTCCAATAAATAAATAGAATTGAAACGACACTTTGAAATGTTTTCCCGATGAAAATGAATAATAATAATAAGTTTCAATAAAAATGATAAAATGTAAATTGAATTTTATCATAACGAGTTTGCTTGAATTTCCTTTCTTCTGAGATCGCAGCAATGCGCGACGGGTAAGCTAGTTATTAATAAAAATTAAATAATAATACTGTACTCTTTGATTAATTAACATTGTTTGAAATATATTGTTTTTCCCCACGTGGTTTATAAATTAAAATATTTTAAGGGTAGATTCATATTTGGATGCTACTGGCACATTCAGCAAACAGCCTAAACAATTAACATAGAACAGTGTTGCCATCTTGCTAAATTTCTCTGAACTGGCCATGTAGAAAATTGTCAATCATGTTTGAATAAACAGCTTGGCCATACATTATGAAATTCTCAAAGATGGAATTAAAATATTGGTGAAGGTTTTTGTTAATAATCTAATGCATTATAAATGGCAACTTAAGTAAAAACTAAGGTTGAGATTCTGATTCCAGATTTTCCTTTACCATGTGTGAGAAGTCATGATTTTAAAAAATTTCAAATCAAAGTATCTCTGAAATTACTAAAACTAAAAATGCTTGACTTTCACCTGACTGCCTATAAATGTAGCCTGGCCAAAAGTTCTACACTAAATTTCATACAAACACTTTAAAACGTAATGGTCAACTTGTGTTCAAGTGAAAATTGTTTAGGGGAAAAAAATTTTAACAAATATATTATTATAACATGTTTAATTATGCTAAATTCTTATGCATACATCAAGTAACACAAGCACTTACAAGTGAAGTTGCAATTTAAAAGTAGTCTATCCCTCTAATGGTAAGACTTATATCAATGATAATTGACATAATTTTCATAGCTGCTGCATTCCCTCATCAATCCTAACTACACTATTTGTAAATCTGAGCTTAGGTTTTGCTTATTAGTTTGCAGTTTTAGTTTAAACATTAGTCTGTACTTTCTTTTCCTTTCTTCACTTGCTATTTTATAATGCTTCTCTTCTTAATTGACTTGCATAACAGTGTGTAAACTGGAAATTTGCACAATTTTGGCAGGTATATTTTGTATTTTTTTTAAATAAATTTGAGAATGTGCTAGCATAGATTGTTGCTCAGACTCTATAGATTTAAATTCATATTGTGATCACAATAATCCAAATGTAAACAAAATGGAGTGGCTTAATGAAGAACAAAGAATTATACATACAGTAGTTAGTGAACAAACAGGAAAGGGGGAGAAGCTTCACAGAAGCATTTTGTGGATGTGGAGATGGCAAGGACAGTTTATAGCATCATAGAAAAGCTGGAAATTGGTAAGACTATTGCTAATGTCCAAGAAGTGAGTGAAATAGAATTAAAATGACATAGTGATGGGCAGTTGAAAAAGTTATTTTTCTAAGAAAACTTGAGATATTTTGAAATTTCTTCCAATAAGTTAAAAACATACTAGTCAAGCAAAATAATGTCCTTTGGAAGCAAAAGTCAGCCTCAAAATAGTATACATGAAAAAATTGCAAAGTATTCTGCGTTAAAATTGTTTTCACACTGTTTTGAAGCTTCAAATGGACTGGTCATCATTATGGACAATGGGTCATATTTTACCTATTGTGGAAGTGGCTGCACTGGGAACAACACATAATGTAAGGATGGGGTTGAGGTTAATCCACAGATAAATTCTGAGGAAATTTTGAATTGTATTTAAAGTATTGGTTTGGGTAGTAATCAGTCCAAAAGGAAGATCTCAGCATTCCTAGCACTGTCTCATCTTTGTATTCAATAAAGGACTGTATTAAGAAGCTGATCTCATTCCTCAATAAACATCACTCGGATGGCCGGTAGGTTTTCTGACTAGACCTCAGCTGCATGTTACAGAACAGATATAGTTTGTTAGAGGAATATGAAGTCCATTACATCAGCAAATAGAACAATGTTGCAAATGTTCCTCTGCTAAATCCAACATTTTCATATGATTACTGTTTCACTGAATACATTTCAGTGAAACAGTAATCATATGATTCTCAAAGGCATTTGACAGTGCCTGGTGGCCCCTAGTGACACACCAACTAAGAAAATTCAATTGCCCTAAAAACATACTAAGCCTCATTATTGACTATTTCCGTGATCGTAAAGCCTTACTTCAATATGGCATACATACTGTTGAAAAGAAAATAACAAGGGGCTGTCCGCAGGGATCGGTTTGCGGTCCCCTGCTATGGAATGTTATGTTCGACAGCTTTCTTAGCAATGATTTTGGACAAACATACTGTATAGCATATGCCGATGATGTATTTATGCTAGTAGGAGGAAGATCTAGGGCTGAATTAGAGGCAAAAGGAAATGGTTTACTGAAAGGGATATATAATTGGGGTGACAGGCACAAATTAAAATTCAACACCAACAAAACAAAAGCAATTGTTTTCAACAAACCGAGAAAAGCCAATCTTTACGCAAGACCTCCGCATCTGAAGATGAACGGGACAACAATCAAGGTTGAGAAATCGTTAAGATACTTAGGAGTCATATTAGATTTTAGGCTGGCATGGGACAGTCATATCA